GTGACAGATCCGAGAAAAGGTCACATAGGCACGATAATAGGACAGCGCGTTACGAGCATACGTTTCCGTATCTTCACCCTCCCGAAGTGCCCGGAATGGAGCTCGATCGTATGGGTTGAATCTGAAAGGAATTCGAGTACACCGAACATTATGACACCGAAGTTTCGTATAGTTACCAAGAATAAGTAAAAAAAAACACTCCAAACTGCTTTCTCGGCTCGGTGGAGGCTATGCTTCGGCTGCCATCGACCATTGCCGATACCCCTCGGGAGACCTTTATACCCTCGGAAACCTGTGCAGCAGCACGATCCGTCCATTAGTAGCAAGAGTCTTCGGGCCCCACCAAGGTAATACGCGTTAATTAGTAAGAACAAGTGAAAGAAACTAGTGAACTAGGAAGTGCCCCTGTCTCCCAATTCGAGCAGCGATCTCGGGAAGTGGATTGAAGGAATTTTGAATCTTTGGTTGCACAAGCCAAAGTGGAAAATGTGGGCAATGATTGGGAATCTTCCGCGCTTACTTTGAAATTTCAAAAGTTTGTAGTTCGAGAGAGGAGCGGAAAACGTGGGAGACAATAGGCAATCAATTGGTGGACGAAATGAGAAGGACACGCCCGTAGTGGGCGGGGCGTAGTACAAATGGGCGGCGCTTGCTTTCCAAATTCCAAAAATTGCTAGTTGAGTTAGAACTAAATTACGAATTTTGGAAATTTTGAGACGAGTGCGTAAACCTCCCGCCGATATCCTCTCCTTCGAGCTTCTTGAATACTTCTTCAGCAAGAGCAAGGAAGGCTTCAGAACCAACATGATGCCGCAGAGGCATCCACCGATTTCATCACCTCCACAACTCCGGACATTCATGCAAGCTTTGGCAGGGTTTCTCGTTGGGTGTTGAGGTAATGACTGTTTTTATTCGCAAAATTTTGACGATAATTTTTTTAAACTGATTTCTACCAATCTACGGCTCGAAATGAATGTTTGAAAGGAGCAATCACCAACAAAGATTGGGCAATGTCGTGGTTGTGCGGGTTTGCTGGTCACTGCGCCACATCTCTCATTCTGAGCAGGGCACATCATTGGTTGGGAATTTT